TTTCAAAAAAAAAAAAAAAAAAAAAAACTTATTGAGTTGGACGACAGACCAACAACCACAATTAGTTCACAGTTCATCATCACTTACATAAGAAACTCACCTATGAATGGTGTTCTTAGAATGCAGATAAGCTAGTCCCGACAAAATCTGCTGTGTATAACTGCGGATTGCATTCTCACCAAACTTCCCATACTCTTGAAGAAGTTTATAGATAGAACCACCTGAGACATACTCCAAGTATATGTAGAGCTTTTCACCTATCTTCTTTCAGCCAAAAACACAAAAAAACAAGTTCTTGTCACAGAGTGCATGAATTGGTTCTTGCACCAATTCTACATTTACCACCATTATTTGTCCAACAAAAAAAAACATATAATCTGAAACCCAAACCTAAAGTCGATTGGCAATGTGAGCGATTTTTTCCTAAATCAGGTATATTCTTCCCAAGTATGCTATTTATAGCTTATATCATTATCCAAACATCACAAAGGGTACATCAATCTCTTTTTCATATGCTAGTTTCACAATACAAAAGCCATATAAATAAGAACTTACAGTTTCAGAGCCATAGTATCGCACAATATTTGGGTGTCTCAAACAGATTAGCATGGCTATCTCCTGCAAGAAAACTTTCTGTTGAGAATAAGATAACAGTGGCTCCTGTCCAAGTTGTAAAGAGGGCATATACTTTGAGGACAATACATGACTTATTTGACCATAAAACTCCCAGAAGGCAGTAAAGCAAAGATGCAACCTCCAAGATACCTGATTAAGTTGTTGTGCACTCTCCTTGGACTTTGAATCATCTGGAAATAAAGTAACCTCCTTCATAGCGCACATCTCACCACTTTCCCTGAGGATCAAAAAAGAGGGTATCGACTATCGAAGCATAAAAACTTCGAAAAAGGAAAGCATTATCCATGCATTGGATAACTAAATATATAATGTAAAAATAAAAACTTTGGGAAAATCTATCCAACAAGAAACATAGATGTATATAACTCAAATTTAGAGAAAGTTTAAATCAATAACACTATAAAATGCATGCTTATGAACAATTTGATTACATTTTCAGAATAACTCCTAAAGTTTAAATGGTAGACTAACACTAAAGCTCTGATGGATACCGCATTCAAGCAAATAATGAAGGAACATAAGCATGGAGGTAAAAATTCAAGATTAGTGAAACTAGCTACTGACCTGTCAAAACCAAGATAGACAAATCCAAAGGAACCACTACCTAGCAAACGCCCTTTCTTCCATCGTGGCCCTGGTCTTGCTGATGTCTCTGCCCTAGAAGGACTTCGAGGGACCGTCGGAGATGTAGCTCTCAGATAGTTGGGAGAAAAATAAGAGGTTTTGGGGATTGATATGGGGGGAAGGGGCAACTGGTGGCTGCGCTGTCTTCTGTCTTCAGGCTGTAACATGGATGATTCAGAGCTTGGTCCACCAGCTCGGTGATGAAGTGGGGTAACAGTCACACTCTGTATACCTGAGTTGGGACTAGGGCTTTTCATTCCTGGGCTAGCTACTGGGGAACACTGGGGGCTGCCCCTATTTTGTGGCTGAAGGAGCTGTCCAGAAAAATCTCCACCAATCGAAATATGATCAGAACCCGAATCAGGACTTGAGCAATGCCCAGATCCAAGCAAGGTTATATCTGGGCGAGTGTTACCCTTCAACAAACCATGATCTAATGCAAACTGTGGTTCTGGATTCCTAGGACTTGAAATCGTACTTCCTGGAGCACTGGTAAGAACATCTTGTGTTATCTGTAAATTCTGCATATCAGCGAATAGTGGTTGCCGTTTTGGAGAAGCGGTCGAAAAACGCTTATCCTGATCACTACAGGAAACATATGTTGGCATCAGGGACTCTGCTGTGGTTCTATAATTGATAGCTGATCGATTCCTGTGCTTGTTACTTCAGAAGAAAGAACAAGTTTTGTCAGTTTCTAAAGGAGGCAGAAAGAGAGAAGAGAATAGATACGGATAAAACACAAGCATTACCTTGATGGGCTGTTTGAAGCAATTTTTATCCCATTATCATGATCCGATGTTAAAGGACTTAAAAGACGAGAATCAGATGGATCATCACTCTCGATGGAGCTACCACTAGAAATGGAAGCTGTAGCTATGTAACCCTCCACAGAATCAGCATCAGGAGGAGGTGAAAACAGCAGTTGCTTAGAATCTAAATCACACTCTGGTTTATCTGTGCAACAAATGGTGGGACTATTTGCTCTAGGAAGCGGAAGCGGAAGCGGAAGCGGTTGGGCAAGAGGTGTCCCAACAAAACTTTGACATCGTGATACGGCTGCAGAAGGTGATGGAGGCGTTGATGGCACCCAAGTTCGGAACCCTCTTTCCGAAATGCTATCGTTGTGTCGCCTGTGGGTTCCTTGTGATCGGTTGGCTGTTCTTCTTGCTGATGATAAACGAAGTTTCCGATTTAGGGTGTCAAGAAAACTTTCCCATTTTGATTTCCATTTTCCATTCTTGGGGGTGGACTTTCCCCGCCAAGTAGGCATACTTGTGAAAGAACCGTGCGGGTAGAGGAGCTAACTATAAATCCAAGGCTAAAGGCTGCATTAGCGGTAGGTTATAAATGATTTCCCGAAACTCCATTAAATTCAGCACAAAAGGATGGCAACAAAACTGCCTAATAGTTAAAGGTGCAGAGTGAAGACTGCTGCAGAACCATTGTGTACAACCAAACCTGTCGAAAAGCTTCAAAGTCAGCCTCTTAAAATTTTTAATTATGATAATAATTGACAGAAAACAACAAGTCTAATGGATGCGATCATGTTTACATTCGACAGCTAAGATGCAACAATCTAAGAATATTCAATTTTATGATTCATGTTTGCCGTGATCATTGTTCATTCACATCCCAGTGGTAGACACCAAAATGGGATCTATAATCACAAATACGATAAAATATACCATGAGTTGCAGCCTTAAGCCAGGAAAAAAAATTAAAAGAACAAACCACTCGAACTACTACTTCACTTACGTGCATGCAATATGCATGCATGCATGTATTCATGCACGCATATGAAACGAAATCAGAATCTCAAGCATATTCTGCGGAAAACATTCTAGACTTGATACAGAAATTTAGAGATAGCTATAAAAGGCAATGCATATAGCATGCCTAGAAGTATAGACATGGAAACCAAGCCCTTCATAGAGGTTAAAATGCCACAAAATTGAGCATGCCAGAGAACACATAACGCCACGTTAACCTTCCAATTCAAGCAATAATAGTAAATGTAACATCTATTGAAAGCAATAACTCAAACATCAGAGCTTTCTTAGAAGGATTACATGCACCCAAACAAGCACTTTTAAATTGTTTGCATAGTTGCATTCGATAACTGAAAATGAAAAGGGCTTGTGATGCATATAACAATCTACATCTGATATGCTCCATGACAATGCAAGGGAATGTACTGTGGTCTGTGGATAAAAACCTTCAAGGTTACTCTTCCTTAGATTAAAATGGGACCATAACTCCTCAAATACAATACACACATAAAGCAGCGCTAGAACTTCAAGAACGGTGAATGTATTACCTCGCTCACAAAGACCAAATACACCTAATGACCTAAGCCAATCACAAAAAATAAAATAAGAAAATCGACATAACTCAATTCCAGAAATAATATGAAAACCATTTTAGACACCTTAATAAACCTGGGATTACAGCCCAGAAAACCCCTTTTACTTGGCTTAAAAGGAGGCTAACATTCATAAAATCACCCCAAAACTCGCAAGATGAAAACCGCCATTACAAAAGAAAAAGAAATAACGTAATAATTTCCTCGTACCAATACTGCAAAAAGTAGAAGGCTAGAGCATATCGACTATTCGTGTCAGATATATCATAACCGAACGAGAGAATGATTCATCTGAACAGATTTTCTACGTAAATATAACCATCCACTGATATCGACCACTTTTTACGACAGTACATGATAATATATACATCGGTTCTACAACCATAAACCTAAACAAGTAATATAAAGAATTTTACAAGGAGAACTTCTTAATCTGAAAAGAGAGCAAATCTATCAGTTTTCTCATGTTAACATCGATTAGAAAACAGCATTTACTAAGGTTGAGAAAGGGTCCATCACTCGCATGTTACATCACACAGTTTGAATGAAAACACTATATACATCACAACAAAATAACCCACCATATAACCCATTTCAAAACTTCAGTACAACAAAAAAGATCGAATTTTCTCAAGTTTTAACAAAAACGAGCCGATCACCCACAAGCAACAAGCAACTGCATTATATTTAAAACCGGAGTTTCAATCTAGAACGGAGATACATTTTAACAGTTCTGATTCTTCTGAAACTCCCCAACTCTGCAAAGGCATTATCATCACGATTACCAGCAATCCAACATCACTAGCATCAATATCAACAAATACCCACACAAAGACGCGGTTCCAGCAATTTGAGAAGTATATTTCAGTAATTTCACAAATACCACGTTATTATCGCCCATATTCATAAGAACAGTGATGCATTTGCATAAACAGAAAAGAAACCGCAAAAAAGGATTCAAAAGTAATGAAACCTAGCGTCAAATCGAAGCACAGAACCATAATCACTCAGGCCTAACTGCCATAAAAACCCATAAAAAATGCAGAAATTTCACGAAATGTAAAATCTCGCGAAGAATCTATACCATATCATGCAGCTCCCGACCCACCAAGCACCTCGAGGACCCGAGAGAGAACAACGAGACCCGAGAAGAACAGGATGAAGATCCCAAACCATCACTTACACAACCTATATATACAGCTCGTATGAATCCTCAGCACTTGCCGACCAAAGCTTCTGTAGATGGAAAGTCAGGAAATGCAGAGAGAGAAGCCACCAAGAGAGAGGGTGCTTGTGCATCCAATGTAATTTTAGAGAGAGAAAATGTTGCAGTAACTGTATATTTCTCTTAATAAACGATATATAAAAAATTATCGCTGACGTGGCATTGATTGTGTGTTACGCAGCGCATGATAATAAAACCAAACACGAGATCGACACCGTTGGTTTTGGTGCTCACAATTGCTTTTGTAGATTTGTTGGCTATGATGTAGCTGTCACCGTGTTACAAGAAGCACTTAATTACGTGATCGCCCCAAAGCATAACAAAAAATAATACTAATCATAATTGTGGTACATAGAAAAGTGCTATGTTAAAAATTTTAAAATATATACATCCGTTTCATTTTAAATATCGTTTAAGAATACGACACACAAATTAAGAAAAATAGTGTTTTAACCAAAATACCCTTATTTATTGCATAGATAATTATTATTTCTAGGCATGCAAAATATTTAAATATTATTAATTAAAAGTAAATTTGGAAAAAAATATTAAAAAGCACATTGAAAATCGAAAAACGATATTTATTTTGAAACAAAAAATTGTTCTAAAACTTCATCTATGAGGGAGTATTATGATTTGGGTAAAAGTTTGCAATATATGATTGAGTAAAGTAGAAATATCTCTCGGTTATTGGAATATATATATATATATATATATATACGTATTATATAAAATATTATTGTTAAAATGATTATATAATAATACATGTGTACAAAATAAGTTATTATCACGTAAAAGTTCTGTAAATAAAATAAATAAAGAGTAAATGATTTTTACTTTATTTTTTTAATCTGAATTCCTTATTAGAATATCAATGTTATTTTAGGATGATTGTCGGTTTATCAATATGGTTTTATGTAAAATTCTATGAATATAAAATCGAGGTAGTAAATACATAAACCATAAACATTATGCAAAATTGCAAATATAGTATATATATACTATAAAAACCATATTGATAAAAAAAACATTATGCAAATATAGTGTATTTGTTACATTTGGCAGTTAGTCCTATACTTCTTCCTTATTTATATGATTTATATACATTATTTTCACATAAGTTTATATATTTACTATACTCTGAATACAAATATTTTATCTGTTGAAATGAATATTATTTAAATCTTTTGGACGGAAAGTTAGCTGAAGTACCCAATATATAATAATTTCATTGAAATATAAACTATAATCTGCAATATACTTCCTTAGATAAATAGTAATAATTAGTTTTATAAAATCACAAAAAATTGATTTATTTTCTCATTTTTTTAAAATATAAATTAAACACTCGCAATTTTAGGACATCAATATCAGTTTATAAATAAAATATGCATATAATTTCCGATTATTAATTATTGTGTTTATCTCTTGTCAGGTTTAGTTCTTATTTTATTTATTTTTATCAATGTCGTTAGATTTAGTTATAAAAAACTAATTGAAGTAAGTTTTAAAATATATATCCATTATAGATCATACCAGTTCCATAAATAGCTTCAAAGGATAAGTTCAAGCGTGTTAAATTCAGTGAATTTAGATGTGCTGAATTTTTGCACCCAAATAATATGGAAATTTTTTTAATTCTAAATATATTATTAAATATATAATAGGCAAGCAAAATTGCCAAATAAAGCAAGTACATCATGATGCAATATTAGAAGACAAAAGTAAATCATCAACGCCAAATAACTGTCGGCCCATCAATACAGACCTATCATTAATGCCCTGATATCATAAAATCATGGGCTGGGTTTGGTTTGTTGTGCAAATTCTTTTACAAATATAGGCTAAATCTATATTTATAAATTGTGTTTTTTTTAATAAAATTACGATTCTCAATCATTTTTTTTATAACCGAATATCCTTCAGACGTATTGACTAGGTAAACATTCAGCCCGAAAACAGCCTTTATATATGGATCATATAAGCCCAAATATTACCTCTCTCCCCACCAGTAAGGAATCGAACACTCAAAAATTATCTCCTATCCAAAACTTGACCATTCGTCCAGGATCTTTTAGACCGATTCTCAATAATTATTCCAAAAGTTTGCTTTTATCTTATCGCTCATATAATTTTTTTATTATACCATATTCTAAAACTGTGATTATATATAGAATCGACACCAGAAAGATTAGGAGCAAAACAAAATATAAAAAAACCGAAAATTAAATAGAGCAAAAATAATGAAAAAATATAATATACACAGTACACGTTATCTACACATAATACGTCTCTCTAAAACTTCCGTCGTCCATCGAATACATCACATAGTATGACATTTACATATAAGTTTTTTTTAATATTTTAAAAAAATAAAATAAAATGTAAAATAGAAGCAAGCCCCAATTCCCAAAAAAAAAAAGTTCAAGCACACAACAAAAAAAACGAAACCCATTTTTCTCCACCGAAAAAACAAAAGCATAATAAAAGGGTTCAAGCGGGGCAAATAAAATTTAGAAACTTTAGGCAACAAACAGAGAGATTACATATACACAACTAAACTGAATTTCTCCACACAAAAAAAAAAGAATAAGGTTTATTAAGTTACCTTAAAGAGGCAGATCAAGGCTTGAGGTGGAGGAGGAGAAGAAGCTCGAGGGCTTCGAAGAAGAGAAGGGCCATCTCAGGGGATGGAGTCTTGACGGCGCATTTGAGGCCTTGGTGGCCGACCACCGCCGTCAGTTCTATTAGCAACGGCACTCCTCTCGGCAGCTTCGCCGACAGATAGAGCACGTCCTGCTTCCCGTTCTTACGCTTCGCTATGAAGAACATGTTCGACCCCGATAGCAAATCCAGCGTCGATTCCACGCTCGTGATCGTGATCCCTTGGAATTCCTTCTGAACCTCGTTTGAATCCGGCAATGATCTCCATGTCTGCGTTATATGACGGAAAGAAAACAATAGTTGTTGAATTGAATCTGAAGAACCAGGGTTTTTTTAGCTAATCTTAGAAACTCAATGATTCGAACCCGTGTATTGAACATTAGGAGAGTGGGCACAGGTCGAGTATCGAGATTTTCGGGTTATCCGAAAACCGCCCCGACATCTCGGGTCTCAAGAGATATTACACGATTTCAGATCCATTCCGGTCAGGTACCCAATTATTTTTTAGTATCATGGGTATCCAAACCCAAGTTTAAATAGAAAATTTCAAAATAAAAATCATATATACTCTTCGGCTACCCAAAATTTTCAAATTACGCGAATCCAAACCCGAAATTTCAAGACCGTGATATCCCTAAAACATGGGGTAAAAAGTCATTTTACTATTTCTTCGAGTACCAGAGATTAATATCCGATCTCTGACCCAATTATCCGAATTCGAATCCGCTTTTCGAATTTTGCTCACATTATAACCCTACGACAAAAATTCAGGGGGGGGGGGGTTTCCAACCCTGTCTCGCACATTTGTATATGCTCCTACAGTGTATTAGTTATTGAAACCGATATGAAGGTTGGGAATGCAATTACGGGGAGACTAATGCAGGTGGAAGATTGAATTACCTCGAGGAAATTTCCGCGTTCCATCTTGCCATCTTCCATGAAGAGGGCGTGAAGTAAGATCTTTCCGTTGAAGTACCAGACAGGCTGCTGATTGTTTTTAACCGCGATTTGCAAAAGCGAGCTGGAAGGACCGGCAGACATGTTCTGGAACAATACCATAGGCAGCATTGTCCTTGCAGATGTTCCAGGTTGCAGAGGCGGAATCTAAAGGACGGACAACATACTTACATCAATTTCAGCTTTGAGATCCAAAACTAAACTTTTGTTCTGCAATGATGAGTTCATTACCTGAAGTGGTCCGGCAGCTGCAAGGCCAAACGTATTTTTGTTGAATTGAATCATGAAACCATCAAGCAAAATTTGTGAGTTGTTCTCGAAAAGCATGCTGTAGAATACTTGTCCATCCCTTCGAGTTAATTGAGCGCTAATCTGCAAACCTTGACCAGTCGATGCTGGTAGGAGAACGGGCAATGGTGGACTGCAATCAAGCTCGGAAAATCAGATGACCGCTACGAGCATATAAAAACAAATGAAAAAAAGAGTTGCATCATTTCGAAGCATACTCACCCAGTTGGAGTTTCGGGTTGATCAGAGGGGACAATTGCCGCATTATCTAATCCCATTAGGTCACCTAACAGATCAGGCGGAGGAGCAGGAGCAGGAGCTGCTTGTCTTGCGGTGACTGGAGGAGAACCTGCGGGATCAGCAGGATGAGCAGATGTCTCAGAGAATCCTGCTTCACTCCCTTCAGCATAGTCCTCGTCTTCAGTTTTCTGAACTGTGGTCTTCAAGCGGGTCACAAAAGCCTCAGGTGGCTTGTGATACACAGAGGACAAGGTAGCAATGTTTGCAAGAAGCTCATCTAAAAGGGATGGGTCAAGCTGGTTTGAATCATCGCTTATGACGGGCTTTTCAGCCAGAACGACATCTTTAGCCGCCTAGTCAGAAGGCAAACATCAATGTCTTTAGAAATCGCACGTATGACTTGTTCCAAAAAATATTGAAATAGCTGACCACCAGAGGCTATAACGAATCAAGGGTAAACACCTCAGGATCAGTAGAGAGAAGACGCCAGTATATGTATGCACGATCTCTGAGATCAGGATTGTCTGTCTCTACAGTAGCATTGTTCAATACAACCTGAAAAATGAAACGTAGTGGTAAAGAAGCCGGTCTTATATAATACACATAGACATGAAGTAGTCAGGACGAGATAAATATGCTTCAACACCGGCATAGCAAAACCTGAATCATTTGCTGAGGACCTTCAGTTGGCTTCTTCAAAAACAGTTTGACAGTCGCTGTTAGCAACTGCAACTGGACCTGTGGAGGTTCCTCAGGGAAATTCTCCAGGAAGCTTTCAAGAAGTTCATCGGCATTGTCGATTCTTTCAGCATATTCACCGATGATCCATATCATGGATGCCTAATGAGATGCAAACAAATGCAAGAGCATGAATTCACCGATTCAAGATTTAATCATTTGGATCTGAAACTTCAACTGTATCATACCAATCAAATGTGAAAGAGGTCATTACCTTAGCTTCTGGTTCATCCAATGTGTCTAAACTCTCGCAGAGCGTTGCAATAATGGACTCGTATCTGTAAATTATTTTGTTATACACCAAGATTAAGAAAATGCCACAGCAACAACAATATAAAAATTTATTAACTTACGTGTTTGGATATCTTCTGAAGATATCTTTGATGACTATAATAGCCTCCTGAACTACGTAATTCACTTTGATCTTGATCAGCTCAAGCAAAACACTGATGCAACGTTCGGCTGCTCTTTCTAGTTTGATGGCACATCGGCCTATGGCACGAACAGCCTTTCTCACAAAATCAACATCAACTTCTGTGGCATACTCTTTGAACTCCAGAAGAACCTACAGAGCATTTACCAGAAATCATCATCATATAGACAGAACATTCCAAACGATTGACAGGTATAGCAGATGGTATGGCTTACTCAAGATACCTGGTCTATGTTTCTATCAGAAGCAAGCTTTATCATAACTTCCAGCTTCTCCATCTTAACATAAATCGGATCATTGTACTTACAGAAGAAGACCTATAAAAAATCAGAATCACAAATAAGCACACTATCTTTACTCAAATTCCAGCAAATCAAATAAAGAAAGAATACATCAACGGTGTAATATGAGTCTTGAGGTTAAGGATTAAGGTACCTTAATTTCATGGGCAAGGATGGTAGGTCGCTTTTGGACTATAAGGTTAATGTTACGAAGTGCAACATATTGTATCTCAGGTTCCGCAGAAAGCAATGTAACAAGAGGCGGAGCCATCTTCTTGCAAAGATTTCGAATCACATCTGTACTAGTAATAAGTTCCATCTGCTGAAGGATCATCTGCGAAAAGAAATAAAGAAAAATCATTGGAAATTGTCCAAGGCATAATAGATGTCTATACAAACAAGTTCGATCAAGGATGAAATTGCACCACAGGAAACAGAAAGTCCATTGGAAGCATCTTACCTTAACAGCTGAGAGCACAACAGCACAGTTGGCATGCTGCAATCTCGGAGAAACTCTCTCGACAATGTTTTCAGCTTCACGAGGGTCAGCCGCCTTATACATTGACAAAGCATCTAGTATAAAAACTTGACCCCACCTGCAATGACCAAAGCATTAAAATCGGAACCAACAAAATCCAGCCAGTTAGGCAAATATATCCATTTTATGCAGCCTGTTCCTAAACAGTCAAAACAATGATCCTCTGCCTGCATATAATATCTTAAATAACAGATACTACAGTCCGAGGATACGAGTAATATAAAAAAAAAAAAAAAGCATAGGTCAAACCGAAAGCCATAACACAACAAGCATGATATTTTAGAAATCGTCAGATTATAACAGTTGTAATCACAATGCTGAATGCTTCTCGAAAAGGATCCGACTACAATTGCCGGAAAATGAGGGAGATGGAAATGATGAAAGGACTTACTCTGTGCATTCATTTAGAGCGGTGAGAAGCTTTGTAAGGGTAGCACTATTCACCTCAAAGATGGGTTTAGTACTATTCTCTTGAATTTCTGCAAGGGCAGCTACAGCATTTGCAACAACCATTGGATTATTGTCTGATATCAAATCCTTCAAGGCATCCAGGAAACCCCTATCCTCAACTAATTCAGCATTTATGTCATAAAGCTTAGCAACACAAATAGCTGCTGTCTTCCGGACATATGGGTCATCATCCTGATGACAAAACATGCAAAAGTTAGGCAAATAAATAGAAAATTTTCACCAAACAAGATGAAACAGATTCTTGATCGAAGTAGGGATACTTAATACGAGATTCCAACCAGAAGGTGGCATTAAAAACCCAACCTTGAGACACTTCTGAAGAGGATCACACAGATATTCTGTAATTTTATCCACACGAATGCAGCCCATTGTCCGTACAGCCAAAGCACGGATCAACGGATTCGGATCCTGTGAATCCTGCAGAATTGCAATGCACAAATTTTATAATGATATGATATACGATAACATTATTTCAACGAGCGAATTTCTAATTGTATATATTGTGCAATGGAAGACTTTAGTTTCCAAATCACAAGAGAACAAAGGAATCATCGCATACTAGATGTTCTAACTTTCCTAGGCTACTGATTGAAAAACAACATTACCAGAAAATAGCTTGAGTCTTACCTTTACAAAAGTATTTACAGCAAGAATAGCAAGATCTGGCTGGCTTTTAGCATAGTTTATGAGATACAAGTAAACAAGCTTCTTCAGCTCCAGATTTTCCGTTTGCATGCAATTGACTACGTCGGTGAAAAGTGATGAAACATCCTTTCCGACAGTCATTGCAGCTATCACCTTCTTAACAGCATCTTTTCTCTTATCCTAGGAAAAAACAAAGGCAACAGAAAAGGAAGGTAAACAAACCGAGGCAAGTAAGAAAATGGGCATTTCCCCCACTTGAGTCGGTAGTCGGTACACATATGTCTGAATTGTAACTATGAGCAAGGGAAATGTAAAGAAAAATAGCTCTACGAATACCGTTAAATATGAGTTAGACTGGATATGACTGCGGCATAATAAAATGACATAAAGATTCTTATCTGAATACTAGCCCTTTGTTATTCCTTATCTCTGGCAACTTAAACTGAGATCTGCACGGGACACAGATCTCTTAGATTCAAAGCCCGAACTCTGTGTACGTTTATCAGCAGGTGCAACCACAAAAGTCGAAAGTTCCAACACAAGTTAGCTTATTGGATTGGTCTCTTACTTTCCAAAACAATTGAAGTTGTAAGGAGACAACAGTTCACTGAGTAAACCTCTGATCCTCTAAAAAATTGCCTTGATCCAAGTTCAATGTGGATCAAACGAATCACTTCCAACACAGTTCTTAGGAAACTGCACACGTTCCTGCGAACATTTTGCCTTTAAACCCCTAAAATTCTCTTACATTTCTTGTTATTTCCCAATAAATAGTTGAGCGTAACACCTTAACACACCGCGCGACCAATCTTTCCACAGAATACCGAAAATAATTCCACTGAGAAGCAACAAAATTAACCAATGAATTCAAATCCAAAACTACGCAGATCTACCAGAAAAGAAAAATCATAGCAACGGGCGAAACCCCAGTAAGAGAATCACCAACCGGGAATCAGAAATCGTAATAATGGCGGATCACTGATCCATTCGAGAACAATATGCATAGACGGCGAGTCAGATAAAAGAGAGATGGATTGAGAGAAGAACCTTGTACTGGGAATTGAGCTCCTCTTTGAGCTCAGGGATCTCTCCCTTCTTCGTTGTAGAAAAGTATTTGGAATCGTGGCCGCTCATCCCTCCCCCCTTCGACCTCCACGTTTCTTCTTGCCTGACACGATGAGCGAGCGAGCGAGCGCGAGAGAGAGAGAGAGAGAGAGCGGACGGAAATGCTGCAACGGAAGGCTCCGCTGGCGTTTTTTCTCCAGCAACGGGCAGCTTCATTGATGGGCTTTTTGGTAATTAATAAGTGTAATTGGGCCTCGAGCCCAAACATATAAAAGTACAAAAATTAATCGTAACATTTTATACGGAAATATTTAAAAAGTTTTACGCCAAAATTGGAAAAACACGTACCCTGGATATATTTTAAAAAAATGATTTGGTTAGATTTTGTTCGGTTTAGTTGAGTTATTTCTTTTTTTTTAGAATTTATTATAATTTTATTTATTTTTCTTAGATTAAAATAAATTATTCTTGTTTTTATAAAAATATATCTTCTATTTATTATTGAATGTTGTGAATGTTTAATATGGTATGCGAGTCTGAAAATCGCATAAGCAGTTTTTCATGAAACGTATACAGGGGAAAAAAAAAATCAAAAGCGTCCACTTGGCAGAAGAATGATTTTTTAACGGCGGCGTGGCCTCTCTTGGACGGAATCTTCACCTGCCGTTAACTTTTTCCCGCCGCCGCGACTTCTGTACATATCCGTTTGGCTCCCCATTAATATTGCAACTTTGAACCATTTTCTTCTCTCCTCTCTGTGTTATATAACGTTGATATGATCTCTTTTGTGTTTCGACTTAGATGTTTGATTTAAATTCCTTGCATATAACATACGTGTATTTAAATTTCCTGCATATAAGATATATATATAGATAGATAGATATCATAGTTTCATTTTAGCACTTCTCACAACCAATATAAATGATGACAGACTAAAAAAAAATATAGGTTGATTATATGAACGTGCGATATTATATCTATATCTATATATATAAATATGTCCCATACTTTCAAGGAATATCAATATTTATTATATCCCAGAGTATACTGTACTGACTAGAGAATGTTATTGAATAACTTTTAGCTGTGACATTGTATTGGGAAAAAAAAATGTCCAAAATTATTCCGCAAAGATTTGCGGAATAATGTGATGATTTATTCATAATTTATAATAGGTGACAGTCTCAAAGTAAATAAATAAATTAAAGATTAAATCAAATATTTAAAAAAATTTCTAAATATCTATTTTTAAAATTTGATAAGATTTTCACGATACACTATATATTATAATAGTCGATTTTATATATCGCAACATATTCTATAATAATTTGGATCGAACAACGTGCACCTATACAAAATTGTCCAATGTGGCATATATACTAAGTTTTCCCTAAATCCACAACATTTCAAATTATTTAACAGATGGAATAAATGGGTTTTCGACACGATAAAAAAATTGCATACTAGTTATGAAAAAAAAAAAGTTTTGGACTTCCGCACAAAATATGTCAAAATAAATAGGTCTAATATGACGTAAATTACAACATAAGTATAATTACAAGTGACTCGAGCTCAGGGAAAATCAAAACCACCACCGGTAGAGTCCGTACACATCCGGACCGGAACCCAAGACCAAATGCATGAAATCTTCCATCAACTCATCCGGTACAAACCGGTCACGACAAACCGGACACGTCATCTTGTGGTGGTCAACCATCCAACGGTCCAGACAACCCCGATGGAACACGTGGCGGCAGTTCCTGATCCGCCGGATCTCGTCGTCGGGACCGAACTCCGTCAGACACACCGCGCAGCAGTCTCCCGGGTCGGGTCGGAGATCCGAGAACCGTACCACAGGTACGATCTTATCCGCGAGACCAGCCAGCGCGTCGTGGCACGCGCCACCGGCTTCATCGGCGGAGACAGATTGCCGGGCGAAACGTTCCGGGTCGGGTTGCCGGATCTCGTGTGCTTGGAAATCGGACAAGCCGATGTACGGACAGAGAGTAGCGATGAGGTCTCTGAAGAAAGCTACGACTTGAAGCGCGTAAATCACCAACGCCGGTAACCGGAGCTCCTTGAATTCCACCGGAGACCCCATATATAGACAGAGAGATTAAGTTTGGAGTATAGAAGTAGATATGCACGACACACACACACATTATATATATATCTGTGTGTGTATATATTGTATATATTATATTATGGCGCATTGGGTAATGGGTGCGTAGGAGTGGAGGTTCCACTAGGAAAACTTTATATTTTTTCTAAAAGATATAATATTTAATAGCAGACTATATATCATCGCTACATTTTCCATCCATATATAATTTATGGTAATTCTCTATTAGATTCGGGGATTTAACAACACGTTTTCCATATATATATATATATATATATAATATATAATGAGTATATTTACTAACGTCGACAGAAGTTCCAACCTTCAAAATGATGCATATAAGCTTATCAATGCATTAAAGATTGGATATAGTTATAAAAAAATATTCAAGAAAATGATAAAATCAGTCATAAATGAAAAAAAAGAGTAATAAAAATATAAAAATTCCAGATTCAAGACAGATAGCTCATCGATTATTTATCCACATATCTATATCTTGACCTTTATGTTATATACTTAGGTTCGTTTCGAATAATAAAAATGTTTTTTTATAAGCTTTACAAATATTAAATCATCACTGTAGTAAAATAATATAAAATTTATATAAATACATGCCATCCATATTAACATCAATACAGATAGACGTGTACGATCTACTAACCCTCACAATATATTATTGGAATAGTTTTCTGTCATTAACATATTTTAATTAAATAAGATATGCGATTGATAGTTTAGCCATCGGCAAGGTTCACGAACCAAACAAATTAATCACTGTTTAAGATATCATTAAAAGTAATAACCAGACATCCACTTTAATTTTAAAAGTATTTACACGATCGGACATCAAGATGTCACGTGGAATGTCCGGATTGGACAACATCAGTTTTTACAAAGTTTAATTTTTTATTAAAAAAAAACATTAGATCTTGGAGGAGGACCCACCAGCGTCAGCTCTTATCTTCTATTGTCGTCGTTGCCTCAAATGTCACGAGGTGATGATGATATGCTAATGTAAAGACAAAATTATCCATTAATTTAATATTCGTGAACTCGATTTTGAATTTAGTTTTTCAAATAGATATTTTCTCTAAATTCATTAAAAATATCTTTCATATTTATTAAATTTTATATTTTATATTATTTATAGTTACCAAATTATTTTTTAATTTTTAGACAATTAAAAAAGCATCATTTATATTTATTAAAAAAATCCAATTATTTTAATACGAATGTATGAATGACTGGACAGAAAGGCACTCAAACACATTGTTTAAGTTCCACCAATGAGAGTGAGAATATTTTTTTTTATAAAAAAAGTGATAAAGAAAACTTTTCAAAAAGCTTTGGCAATGGTTACGAAAAATTACAAAAGCAATTTAGATCAGATATCCTTTTTCTTTTGTTTATAATGATAAATAAATCCAAATAAAAATAAAAACTAATTATAGAGTTATAAATTTCTACACAGCACAACAAAATCATATTTTGTATCACTAAAACGCCTTGGGGACCGGAAGAATTGGGTCCTCGAATAATAAAATACAAAAGATAACCGCTCAAAATTAAAAGATACAAAAACAGAGACTAAAAATACTATTTTTTTCATTTAAAAAAATATATTACAAGAGAGAAAAAAAAAAACAGAAAATTATTTAACCTCAGTGACTTCACCTTCTCTGCATAAACCGACATTGATCCATAATGTATTACTCCTCTTCGATTGCAACACTCTGCAACAATTCCTCCTTGGTGACTGCCCAAAAACACAAAATGCCAATTATCAAAAGTGATACAGCAAATTTGTGGCCACTTCGGTTCAGCTAAACCAAACCAAACCGATCCGAATAGCATATAACCGTATCCGGTATAAAAATCGAATGATCATTACCTTCGAAAAAAAAATCAAATTCTAACAGAATAAAAATAATTGAAAAAATGGATTTTTTAAATATAATTTTTTTATTAATAAAAACCGCACTAGACCAAATTCAATATAATTAACGGGATGAAAATAGTTTTTTTTTTTAAAATTCAAATAAGAGAACCGAACCCAAACCGGAAATGACCACTCTAATTTCACATGTAAAACACAGACAAAGTCAATGTCCATTATTCACTTACCCTATCCCAGAGATGAGGATCCGGTTTCTTGTACACGACGACGGTATTAACGTCGGCTGGATTTGCAATCTTCCAACGACAATCAGGACTCGGGACCCGATGTCTCGAGTATTCGCTAACCGTCGTGTTCATTTGCACGTCGAGTTTAGCACTCGAGACATAGAAAACAAACGGTTTCTGGCACGGATTCCTGCTAACCGGCCTAGTGTTGAAAGCGTAAGCCGTGTAATCTGCCCGTTTGTACCAATTCAAGAACGTTCGAGACGGCATTTCCATTTCCCGAGGCGATATAATCCCGCGGGATATCTGAACTGTGTATCCCCACGAGACGGATATCGTCCAGCTCTTGTACTTGTCGTAGCATATCGATTGCTGGAAAAGTCCGGCCGAGTCGAGTTTCATCGGGACTGTTAGTCGCTTAAGGGCCCTAACCCGAGTCGTGTTTGGGAAAATTGGCTCAACCACGTCGAGATGGTGCATCGATACGAATGGAGCCACCGGGTGGGCAGCGAGGAGGCCGAAGAGATTCCCGTAGACATCGTACTGAAATCAGAGACAGAACCAAGAACTTGAAAGCCAACGTTGGTATAAAAAAATTGTACTTACTTTGAATTGGTAATGAATCTAATTCTGTGCTAATGGTGGTTTGGGATACACGCGCCATGAGAGCGAGTGATGAAGGGGGAGAAGAAGATCTCTTAATGGGTCAAAGTAGAAGTGGGCAGTGTTCATTGTTTATTTCAATTACTTTCGTAACTTTAAACGTTTATATTAAAATATAATTATTTTTAAAATTTAATAAACTGTTGCGTCACCGTAGAGTATAAATAAATAGTGAGAGGAACACAAAGTCAGATTTATATAAACAACAAACTAATCACACTGCTAATGATAATGATCTTATAACCATAACAAAGACCAAAGCCCTAGATTCTCTAGTCTGATTCCAGTTGTGACCTTTGCCATCAAAACCCTAAATTCTAAAGTCCGAAAAGGCGGACAAAATCATCAAAGAAGTTGATTTTGATCCAGAAAAGGTACCCCCAGTTTCAGAAAATTACCAGAAAAATCGCCAATCCTACCAAATACAGATCACCCGTATCAGTAAAAGCCATTATCATCGATTTACCCAATTCGCGAAATCATCGAAAGTTACCGAATTTCGCCGGAAAAGGTAAAAACTTTACCTGGTGGAAGCCGAGTTCTTTGGTGAGAGGAACACCGAGCTCTGCCATGCACGCTTGCATGCGGTCATCGGATCCGTACAGCGCCGGATACCTCTGTATGCAACGGTCCTGCATCTTGCCCAGGGCCTTCGCCAGCGGATAACTTATGGCGAACCCTCCCCCTCCGTACGCCATTCCGTACGAGAAGAATATGTTCTGGAGATGAGATTCCGACAAGCTCCCGATGTAATACATCTGTTCGTGGTCGTACTTCCTCAGAACCCTGATCAGGTTGTCGGTGACGAACACCGTGTCATCGTCCCCCATCACGAACCACCTCACGCTCTTCGGCCCCAGCCTCAGAGTCTCCGACACGATCCGCGAGATCCGAAGCGCCGACCGGTGTCCCTGCTTGTTCTTGTACGGGAAAGACGAAGTGTCGCCGGAGATTTTCACCGGGGGAAGCTCGTCCTTGTCTCCGGCGTCGGCCCTCACCTCCTTGTCGAGCCACACATACACTCGCATGTACTTGGGCTTGAACCAGATCTTGATGTACTCCTTCCTCTGCTTCCACAGCTTCGACGACGCCGCAATGCCGAAAACAACGTGGCGGAGGTCGGTCGGCTCGTCGGCGGAGTCCCCCCGCTCGCGCCGCCGCAGAGCTCCGGCGGCGGAGGAGGGAGATTGTTTCCTAGGTCGGATCAAGGCATCGGACCCGTTGGCTGAGACGGCGGAGACGGTGGAAAAGGGGTTCGGACCGTCACAGGCGCGTGAGGTGGAGACGAGCTTGAGCGTGTAGGTAATGTAAGTGACGGAGATGAAGAGGATGAGCCACACCATGACTTTGGGGATGGGTCGGGTTGCAGACCCGATTCCGGGTAACGATGCAGCTGACGAGATCCGATCCCATATCGATTTCTTGGGCGAATCTTTCTGATTGCCTTTCATCCAGTTTTTCCTCACCGATGGCCCCTAGCTTTTATTGATGCTGGGTCTCTCTCGAATATACGAAAAGATCAAAACTTTCCCCTCTCCGGGTGGTTCTTGCCCAGATGAAATCTAACCGACAAAATTGGATCTTTCTTTCCAGAAAAGGTCGATGTGAATGAAAATCTAGAGACCCATAAAAGCAAACGCGAGAAAATGAGGGGTATTGTTTGTTTTTTTTTTCTTTCGTCGTCCCTCAAGATCAAGAGGGGTGGAAAAGAGGTAAAGGTGGAGAGGGAATGCAACGCACTTCCACTAGTAGTAGAAAGAAACCCCAAAAGAAATTGAAAAAATGGGGAATTCCTTTTTTTTTCTAAGCAAAAAAGTTTTTTTTTTTTTTTTTTGGTAAAAAAAAAATGTGTTTGGGTGTGTGCAGGTGACGGGAGGTACTGGGGAAATATGTGTGTGTAATCGTGATTAGTAAATACTAATTCTAATTAGTGAGTGGTCAGAGGAGAGGAGAAATAAGAGGTCTGGCCGTTGATCATGTGGGCTCCACGGTAAAGTCAAAATCTACGTGTCATTTCGAGCTCTATGAGAAACCCCAAGCTCTTCCAAATTCATAATAATATTTTTTTAATCCATAACTTAATAAATTTCGCTTAATTTCTTTTTTTTAACCTTTAAAAAACTGGTAATAACGAGTAAGAATTTTTTTCTGAATAATTAAGATTGAAAAATTGAAAACATAAATTAAAATGGAGACAATGCCATTAATCAAATGGAGAATTTCAACTAAAAATGGGACCAAAATTCTTCGCAATATCGCAGAAACGGAGGGAGTACTAAATATATTTAAAATGTTCGATGTTTCCGCCGACAAGGAGCCGGTTTTCTAGGAAGCAGCCGTGTCTTGTTCCTATAATCATGTCGGTCGACGCTTACACCCTCTCATGTTCTTCTAAATCTTAGTATTGACCAACCATTTTTCCTATTACTCTATAACGTAACGACGGTGAATATTATTATGGAGATTTGAGATGAAAATTGGAATATTGTTTTATTAAAAATTTCAGAAGAATAATGTTATGTTTTCTAAAATTTCTTCATAACTGCCAGTTTAATCGTCTTATAAGAGTTTCTAATTTTTCTCTAATTCTAATTTTTAAACCGTAACATATAAATCAAAAACTCTAAACTTTAAACTTTAATTTCAACTCTAAATCCGAAATAATCTTAAACTCTAGATTTCATTTTAGTTTGATATATATATATATATATATTCGCTTCATAAATATTTTGATTAAGACAATGATTATTGCTAAAACTAGTATCATTAATGATATTAAATCTCTAAATCAAATACCATACAGTTACAAAATAAAACACAAGGGAATGTATATAAGTACTCAAAACGGAGAACAAGAACACGATGTAGGCATATTAATTTCTACGTACAAATCATCCATTCGATGGGGATGATGATCGATCATCATGATCATGATCATCAATCATCATCATCATCATCATAATTTAGCTTTAGATAAGACGGAAATGATGGAGTGAAGGGCAGTAGCAGCGATCCTCGATTTGATCTGTCCGCGTCGTGGAAGGATCTTCGCCTCTTCTTCTCTTCACGGTGACGCCATTACCCCTCACTCATCTTGCAGTAAGCTCCAAAAAACAAAAAACCCACTTTCTTGTTCTACAAGTAACCTCTGAAAACTGTTTTTTGCCCTAACCATTGTGCGCGTGTATATATAGAGCGGTCACGAGAATGATGATACGGCGACATCTGGAAGATGCGTTGTTCGGTCTGGAAGGGTCGTTGTTCGGTCTGGTCGGTGTATATATATATATATATATATATACATATAGGAATGTTGGCGATAGTTAGAGTGTAGGCCCATGGGCCTAGATAGGTGGGAAGTAAGTCACAATTCATATTAGCACATATTTTATGTTTAATCAAAACATGATTAGACTAATCACGTCTCAATTAAAACTATCACATCACTCCACTTGTTTGTATTACTCACCACCACCACCACCACCACCATCATCATTTTGTTTATTTGAACAAAATATCGATTGAATGATGTGGCTGCACCGTATTTCGTACGGTCATGCATGTTTATGCTATACTTGATACGGTATTTAACAAATCATTTGTTTTTTTTTTTTAATTCGTTGGTCATGCACGGCAGAAACCTCGGCCTCAGAGAAGACGTCGTGTATTTCAAAATAAAAGATACATATATATATATATTTCATATAAAAAAAAAATACATATATATACATGATCATAAACTAGTGTTTAGTATTCGTTTTAGTCTCGTCATTTCAGCTGGTTGGGATTGGGAGATTGGAAACCAATATATATAAATTAAATCTGAATGTAGGCTGAATATTTTTTTATAAACTAAATTGAAATATTTTTATGAAACGGATATAAAATAACAAAACTAAATAACAATAAGTATATTTTAAAAATAGTATTTTTTTTTCTTTCAATAAAATCAAATTTGATTTCGATAAAATACAAAAATTGAATGATATAATTTATTTTATTTTCCCAAATTTTAAGATTTGAAATATCATTGCTAACTATTGTGTGGTCAATGGATCTTGAATTCTTTTTATACCATCGTTCTATAATACATATGATTGAATATCTATAATTGATTTTGAAATTCAGGAGATGCGGAATCTTTTCTGTTTGTTTTTATTGAGTTCCTGAATTATTTTTTATACGCTGAAATTTTATCGAGCTATTGCAGGTTAACAAACAAATAATTGAAATATTTATTTTACTCACAATATTGTACTTTGTCGTATTGTATTAATTAGATATATTCTGAAATAAAATTAGATTTTTTTTAAACATCTTTAAATTCCAAAGAAACGCGTTTAGATTTCCCTTTTGTTTAAAAAATAATTTAAAACGAGTGGTTGTCATCATCATCATCATCATCATGTGGCGACGAACTAAAAGCAACGTTATCAATAATAATAAAATTGTTCGTCGCTTTTTGATCGTTGCGACAATGATACTCGATTCGTTTATTAGCAGATTACACAATAATTTATGCACACATATTCTAAATACTTCATATATACGCGTTGTTTTTGAAAATCATAGATATTGATCATTATACTAAGTTAAAATGTTATAAATATTTTTTTTTTGATGAAATAAAACGTTATAAATATTAAGTGTTCGATTACCATCACTCATGCACATCAAATACGCGTTGGTTCAAATACATTGAATTGAATATTCATCTCTCTCTCGTTTTTTTTAAAATTACGATAATAATTGTTTTTTAGGATTTGTTACGCATAACCAATCTGAGCATATAAAAATAAACTTTTTCTTTTATATTTTTTTTATAGATTTTATTCTTGAATGCAACCAATGATAAGCAGAAGAAAAAAGTTCCAAATTATAAAAGATATATAATGCAAGAGCATGTGCAAACTATTGCTTGAGCTTCGATTTCTAAGCTCCATCGAATTAACGAGATTGCTTTTGATTATATCATCTGAAAAAAAAAGAGTCGTCAAAAACCCACATATAAACATTGGAATATATATATATATGGATGGAAATGTGTTGTATAGTTGTGGATTACTAGTAAAGGCACAAGGGATAATTATAGAATTTCACCAAAATTTTTAGATAAAGGGATATGTTAAATCGAGATTTAAATTAGTTTTGGGGTTACGAATCATCTATGTGATTACGAATTATATATGTTCTCTATTCAAATTTGAAATTCGAATTTAGAATGAGTCATACACTTTACGTCCATTTTATCGGATAAACTATCTAAGTTTGGATAGAATTTCACCAAGTTGAAATAACACCGACAACATACATTATCATGGACCGCTAAATTAATGAAACTAAGATATCGATTATATCCATGATAGTAAAAATAATAAACTTTTATATACATATAGATCTTACGGGTCAAGGACAAGATCTAAAAGACTAGACAGAAAAATATATGAATAAATGCAACTGACCGACCATAAAACCTAACTGTTTTTTTCTTAACCGTCATTAACGGTTAACTTTAACCGACCAATTAATCTAATAAGTTATTTTTAAATTACAATAAAGTCGTAATCGTAGCCGTAATTACCGCTTCCAATATTTCAAAAATTTTCAGATTATTTTTTTAGTGGCCGAAATAAATGAGAATAATATATAAGAAACCTAAAAAAAAATCACTAAAAAACCAAACGAAATTGTCTTTGACTAAGTCAAACACATTATTTTAATTTCCAAAAAAATGTTTGGCTCTTTTATATTTAAAATTCATTTATCTTATTATCCTGACGAAGACCTTTCCGGCACAAGAAACGGTCCTTTTTCTTTTCTCCCCATAGAGAATGATATAATCCAATCCGAATATTTATATTTTCAGATATTCAAAAAGAGTTTAAAATATTTGATTTATAAATGAGCCAATAGCATTTTGTGTGTTTTAAATACGAAGAATACATAACCGAAAATAAAACGCGTTCGACGCCGTCATTGCTTACGTCAGCTTTCCGTCGTGGCAGCTCGGTTCTTTTTCTTTTTTCAATAAGCTCAATTATTTTTCTCGGGACAAAATTAAAAACCATGAAGACGAATATTCTGTTTCTTACATCATATAAATTCTCTAAATCACTTCTCTTATGGTGACAGATTTTTTTATTTTATAAAAAAACTACCTTATTATTATTATTATCCCACAAACATTTGATTAAATTAACCGAAGTTATAATTTAGGATGTCAGAATGTTTGCATATACATACACATATAATATACAAATTCTGCCTTAATTTTTTTTATTGAGATTCAATTACAATTGTAACTTAATTATTTTGGCAAACTATAATATTTCGATTTTTATATAATATTTTAATTAAATTTAATAATCACTTAAAATTTATTAAAAAGTAATGTAAATTTTTTGAACTTAAAATTTTATTTTATTTTATGTTTGATTTAGATATTTAAATTTAATTTAATAATCACTTTATTTCTGATATAATCATATATGATTCGAGTTGAACTTTTTTCGTTTTTACAAACAAAACAAAACAAAATAAAATAATCTTTCATTTAAACATAAAAATGAAATTTTATTGAATATAGTATAGTAGCTTAGACATTACATTAATGCGTTTAATATGCTTGGACTTTGAACTTTAAGAATTAATACAGAGTCACGTTGAAGAATGATGGGCCTTCTTTCACTTTGTTTTTTTTTTAAAAAAAAGAGAGAGATCAGATTCTCACTTTTCCATTATGTTTCTCTATGGCATGAATTATTTTCCTTGACTACTGTAATCACATTCACATCCACTTTTAGGATTTTATTATTCTATAATTTCTAATATTATATTAAATGATTTATCATTTTTTTTAAAAAAAAATCTCAATATTAATATCACGTAGGAGATAATACACTGCACGACTGCTTGTTTCCGAAGCCTATGAGAAACGGTCCACTTTCAAGACTCGTCTGTTTTGTAAAGCTAATGCCTTTTGGATTGAGTCTCACTCTTCATTTACTATAATTTAATTTAATGTTTTGTTTTTTAAGGATATTTATGCGTTATTTAATTAATGAATAAACTCATTGATCATTGGATCGTATTATCCTTAATTAATAGATGTTTAGGAGTTTATAAAACGAATTATTAGCGTTAGTTTTCTGCCGTTAAAATGATAAATGATTTGGATTATTAAAAATAATTATATCTTCTGAAAAAAATGAGTACACGTGGCTCTTTCTTGTACTATTTAATTATGTAACAAATGCTATTTTACTACGCTTTTTTTATTTAATCACAGTGGAGAAGAAATTTGGTGTAACGTCGTCTTAGTAATAACGACAAATAGAGGAGGGTAAAATTGGAATAAGGTATTTGAAAACATTAGTTCTAATAAACAAAAACAGTAACAGGAGGAGGAAGAACGAGTCTGGTCTCGCTCCCCGACAAGACATGTCTTCCACCATTTCGCTTCCCCATATAATCGCTTATCTCTCTGCTCCAGAAATCCCAAGAACCCTTCCCTAGTTTCCCTCAATCCCAAAAACCTCCCCCCTTTCTCCCCGGAAATTTCACGGTTGTGTCAAAATGGCGCCGGCGACGGAGAGTCAGAGCTCCTTCCTTAGCCGGATCAGCATCCGCCGCAACCAGATCGTGTCCATGGAGGTCAACCACGAGCAAGAGCTCCAGGAACTCGAGAGTTTTCAGAAATACGTGGCGGGGCGATTCTCGGAATTGCTGTGTCCGCCGCCGCTGTCCGCCGGAAATATCGACGCCGGCGCCAATTCGCCTCCGTCTGATCCGATTCTGTCGATTTCGTGGCTGCGGAAGCTGTTGGATGTTTTCATGTCCTGCGAGGCGGAGTTCAAGACGGTTCTGATCACGGGTCCGGGTCCAGGTCCGGGTCCGGGTCGTGACCCGTTCCAGATCTCGAAACCGCCGCTGGATAGGGTGGTGCCCGAAATGCTTGACCGGGTCGTCAAGGCTCTAGATATCTGCACCGCCGTCGTTAACGGGGTTGACTCCGTTAGAGACTGTCAGCGCCTCGCTGAGATCGCCGTAACGGCACTGAAACAACGGCCGTTAAGCGACGGAAGCGTCCGGCGAGCAAAACGGGCCCTCACAAGCCTTCTCAACGCCTTAAACCCAGAGGAGAAAGGTAGCCGGAACGGCAGTGGGAGCAGCGGTAGGAGGACAACGGAACGGTCGTGGTCCTTCAGCCGCCGTAACGGAGGCGGCTACGTTAGTAAGAACTGGTCTGCGGCGAAGCAGATTCAGGCAATGACAGCCAATCTGATCGCACCACGTGGCACCGAGGCCTCTAGCCCCGCGGCTCTTCCCGTCCACATAATAAGCACAATCATGGTTTTGGTCATGTGGGTGTTAGTAGCGGCGGTTCCATGCCAAACAAGCAACGGCTTGCCAACGCATCTACCGCTGCCAAAGCACCAGAGCTGGGCAAGTGCCGCCATTAACATCCACGATCGGATCGGGGAGGAGATTAAACGGAAGGAGAGGCGTGGAGGTGGGTTTTCAGGCGGGCTGATGGAGGAGATGCAGAGGATGGAGAGGATAGGGATGGGGCTGATGGAGTTCGCCGAGGGGTTTAGGTCGGCGGAGGAGGTGGCGGAGAAGGTGGCGGAGATGGAGGAGGTTTGCCGGAGAATGGAGGAGCTCGATGGGTTGCAGAGACAGGTGAGGGAAGTGTTCCATAGAATGGTCAGAAGCAGGACTGAGATTCTCGAGGCACTTGACCAAGCGGGGAGGAACACTACTCCGCCTCCACTGTAAATCTTTCTAAATAGCTTTGCTTCTTTCTTGATGATGCAAAAAAAAAAATCATCTTTTTCAATTTTTTTTGTTAGTAGAAAAAAAAAAAAGGATACAAGGGTTTTGGGTCTTGTCATTATGTATAGTATACATTGCCATATCGATTCTCTTTTTTTTTTTGGGGAATACTGAAACTGCCTTAGAAAAAAATAAGAGTTTATTTTTTTCTATTTACATATATGAACGCAAGCAAGTGATAGATTTGTGTGAATTCCCATTGGATTTATGTTTAAGACAACTTCATGCAATGGATTTGTACTTTCCTTTTAAAGGAATCAAAAGGGTACCTGCAATTCAAATTCAAAACCACAAGAACGATAGAGTTCTTCAATGGCAATTAGCTTAACCGAATCTGGGCATCTGAGTCATGAGAAGGACAGTGAAAGGCTAAAGAAAGAGGTCTTCTTGGAAATTGTGACAGAACTGAACCAGAGGAAGGGCTCTGACTTTTGTGTTTCTTTTTTGGGGTGTGTTTTGTCTCTTCTACCTTTGACCCATGGAAGAAGAATTTCCGACAGAAACTCTAGGGTTTCCTGAAGGTGGTTCGAGAGATATGTTCCGAAATTCGATCGATTTTCTGATATCCATTGACGTGAAAAAAGCTCCCCCCCTGTTTAGGGCAACACTTTCATTGGCCGAGTCAGGTGCAGACCGAGTCAATTCGCGCGCTTCCTGCACCGGCCGAGTCAACGACCGAGTCTCCGCGACCGAAGATGGGGAACAGCCGAACAGGATGACGGAGTCGGTAACGGCGGGATTTCTTAACGGATTGAAGTCCCGGAATATATCTTAACGGCGGAGATAACGGCCGTTATTTAATGGGCTACAATTTCATTTGAGGGCCCATTTTATAAAGCCCAAATCTATCACTGTTATGAAACATTGATGGCCCAAATAAGCCCATACGGGGCTGCACCTGCACGGAACATCCTGCAACAGAAATAAAATTAAACATAAAACGATATTTGATAGTCTTAAATAAGATATATCAAATCATAAAATTATAGTTAGCGAAAATATTATATTTCATAAATTTAGATAGGATATTTAAAATTTATTGTTTTTCTGCTTTTTCTAATGATATCACTATTCGATAAATTTAGATAAGATGTATCAAACCATAGAATTATATTATAGTAACACTATTCGATATTTGATATTTTTTATTTTATTTTATTTTATTTTAGGAACGCTCTGGAACCAAGCCAGGGTCGTCTCGTTCTCTTTGTATATTCGTCGTACTTGGTCACCCTCTAATTGACTTCTGTTTCGTGTCGTCTCCTTTCATCTTCTCGCTTCTCTGTTTTCTCTTTCCGGATTGAGGAATTCATCAATGGCGAAGGAACTGGCGGAGAAAGCTAAGGAAGCTTTCCTAGATGACGACTTCGATGTCGCTGTTGACTTGTACTCCAAAGCCATTGACTTGGATCCCTGCGCAGAATTCTTCGCCGATCGTGCTCAGGCCAACATCAAACTCGGAAACTTTACCGGTAATTCCTCGTTTTCTCGTGTCTGTGATGCTTTTTTCGTCTCTTCGGTTCCTTGTTTGTTCCGTAGTTCATTCTATTAAGTTATAGAAATTTGATTTCCTTCCCGGTTTGGTTACTTTGCCAACTTAGGGTTCATGAGCTTGTTCATAGATGTTGAGTTTCCATTCCGTTGATTAGACTGACTCTATTATAATTCCTCTCGCCGGTAATGTATCTGCTTTCTCGGGATCTAGGGCTCTGCATTGATTGAGCTCTTTATGTTGTAATAATGTATTGTCCTCCCATGTCGTGTGTTTGTCATTAGAAATGAGTAACCTCTGAAATTTTGCGTCTAAGAAGGGCAGGTTCTGAAGTATTTTGGGTAATTGAGTTGACTTGTATTTTCTTTGGATTGTAATTGAGCGTCTTTTGCCCCCTTTATGTTAGAAATTAGAATGTGTTGGGATTCCACTGTTCTCAGATAACTAGGTGATCTTGTTTGGTTCTACCGCATATTATCTTCAACTTTCATGTCTTAACATATTATTGTTCATGTTCCTTCATGAGCAGAAGCTGTTACAGATGCAAACAGAGCAATAGAGTTGGATCCAATGCTGACAAAAGCATACCTAAGAAAGGGGTATGCATTTATTCATATTGTCTTTGTGTATTTTTGTTGCTTGTAAAATTTCGGATGAGATATCTGCATTTGGCCCTTGAAACGATTTTGTGCGGAAGTGATGAACTTATGATTTTCCATCTGATATCATTTTGGATTGATGGTATGTGCTTATGTGTGATGTTTACATTCTTGCAATTCACACGTGGTTGTTATATATCTGCAGAACTGCCTGTATGAAGCTTGAAGAATACCGCACCGCTAAAACTGCCCTTGAAAAGGGTGCTTCCATTGTGCCCAATGAGCCAAAATTTAAGAAGCTTATTGATGAATGCGATTTTCAAATTACAGGTATTTTGGCCCTTAAATAGTTTCCATTTTTTCTTTTAAGACTGATTGCTGCCCTGTCATGTATCTGGAACCACATTCTCAGAATTATTGTCTCTTTGTGTATCCGATCAATAGAATAAGAAGATTTTAATATTTTCTGTACCAAGAGCGTAATTTGACTTTGACAATATTATTTCATTAGAGGAAGAAAAAGATTTGGTTAAGTCGGGGTCATCAACTTTGCCTTCTAGCTCTACACCACCAGCATCAGCATCCACTGTATCCCCGGCACCGACTTTGGCGGAACCAGCCAAACCGAAATACAGGTGGATCTCGTTGTAGGAGGTGTTGAATTCAGAACAGGTTTTTTTTTTTTTTTAACTTCCCCAATCTTTCAATATCGAAAGATATCTCAATATCAAACTCTATGTGTTCAACAGACATGAATTCTACCAGAAGCCGGAAGAAGTGGTGGTGACAATTTTCGCAAAAGGGATACCAAAACAAAACGTTAATGTCGAGTTTGGAGAACAGATTGTGAGTATCCTGTAATCAGCCTAACCACTTTTGTCACTATACTTTCCTCAATATAATAAGAATCAATCTTGATTTGTGATTTATGTCTGAGCTTTGCAGCTGAGTGTTGTCATTGATGTTCCCGGGGGTGAGGATGCTTATCATTTCCAACCTAGATTGTTTGGAAAGGTACCCACTTTCTCAAATGGGTCGGCGGTTTTGACTCACAATACTCTTATTGAGTTTTATAATCTCTTTCTCGGGTGTTTCAGATTATACCGGATAAGTGTAGATATGAAGTACTGTCTACTAAAGTTGAGATCCGTCTCGCAAAAGCTGATGTAATCACTTGGACCTCCCTCGAATACAGCAAAGCACCAGCGGTTGCATTGAAACCGAACGTCTCATCAGGTTTCTCCCATCAAAATCTAATTCATTTGAGAAGATACCATCTAGTAGTACTATACATTTTCTGTTTCCAACCAACCAGTTGCCATCACATATATCAATTCATATCACGTTTTCACTTGAATAGATTGGTAAAAAAGATCATGAATTTCCATGTCATGTAATCGGTATGTTCACTGTATACTATGTACAGCAGCAGCAGCAGCTGTTCCTCAGAGGCCAGCATACCCGTCTTCTAAGGCGGTAAAAGACTGGGACAAACTTGAAGCGGAAGTAAAGAAAGAGGTTTTGCATCGTTAAAACCCTACCCGTCTGCTCCGTGTATAATAACATAGGAGGATGGAAAAAAAAATTCTTTAAATGAGGTGATGTGATGAGATTGCAGGAGAAGGAAGAGAAGCTGGATGGGGATGCAGCTCTTAACAAGTTCTTCCGTGAGATCTACCAGGGCGCAGACGAGGACATGAGGCGAGCCATGAGCAAATCCTTTGTGAGTATCTCCCTCTCACTCCACGAACCTGTAGCATGTAAAAACTGTAAAAAAAAAGGAGATAAACAACTAATACCGACTGACAACAAACGTATATATTGTGTGGGGATAATGAAATGGAATAGGTGGAGTCGAATGGGACGGTGCTGTCGACGAACTGGAAAGAGGTAGGAACAAAGAAGGTGGAGAGCACTCCTCCTGATGGCATGGAGCTCCGGAAATGGGAGTATTGATTGATCTCCCTCACCCCCTCCCTCAAACACTCAAAACTTATAACTATGCTTTCCGTTTCTGTCATGACCCTTTGTCTTGGTCCCTCTCTCTGTTCGCTGTCGTTTTTTGGTTGTTAAGGTAGTGACAGTCAGTCTGCCCCCAGCAATGCAATGTTTTCTTGTCCCAATAACTAAAGTGTTTGGTTTTGAAGTTAAACCAAGTTTTTTGAAATTCTTCTTCCGTTGGTCTTTTTTGTGTAGTCTATGCTTGTTCCCTGACTTGGCTTTTGTCTTTCTTGTGGGCTCTGGTCAAAACTTCTTATGTTGCAAACTCCAATACGCACATATATGTTAGCAGAAAAGTTTCTATTTTTGTTTATGTTTAAACACCAACAAATCATTCTCTGAAATTGCATAAACATGGTAGGTGTTGAAGAAGAGGGCATTTGATTTCACTGCATTGTAAGACAAAAGCTACATAGACAAAAAAGCATTGGGCCAAAGAGACAAGGCATGAGTTATATCTTTAAAGACAAATCCCTTATGTTGTTGCCTTCTATTTTTACACATTCCAAGTAGTAGAAGAAGAGACTACCACGATCACAACCAAAAAAATGGAGTCTCAAACGCATTTACCGGTTTTATAACCTATCTGATTTAGCCTCCTTTTCCTCCCTGCATTTTAGGAATGAAGAACCATAAAACATCAACAAATTATCTGGGAAAAACTTTCAACAAAGGAGGGAGACAATGTTACCTTATGAGGCGGAGTTCCTGGCCTTGGCACGGTGGTGTTAAACCCGAATCTTCCTTTCTTCTCAGACTTGAGGATTTGAAATGAACATGTCAAGGTATCATCCACACTCATCATTCCACCAGCATTGTCAAACTCCCCGCAGTAATTGGGCGCCGAGAATATAGTCACCAGCTGTCTCTGTGCAAAGAACTCGTACCCATCTTCTACAACCTGTGGAATCACTTCGGAATCAGACTCGCCACACCAGAAACTGAATACCCTAAAAGGGTCTGTACGAAAAGGGCATTTCCTCCATTGGTGTCCAGAGATCAGCAGTAAAGTAGGTCAGGATAAATGATGGTATAGGTAAAATATAACAAGTTGACAAATTGAATCCATGTTCATGTATAGAAAAGCTTGGATCGGAAGAGTTAAGTGATGATATAATTGGTTTACCTGATGAGCTCGGCAAATGAGATCAAGGTCATGAGTTTGAAGGAACTCTGCAACCTTGTCTGCCCCAAATGTATACGAGACACCTCTGTCATTCTCTCCCCAGCCCTCGATTTCTCTGTCTGGATCGGCCCACAACAGATCACATAGGAGCCCCTCATCAGGAACATCAATAGGACGAGGAATCTTCCTGATCTCGTCTAAGTTTTTCAAATCAGGTGATAATCCACCGTGCATACAGAGGATCTTGTCGTCAATGAGAGCGGCAACAGGCAGACAATTAAAGCAGTCGGTGAAAGTCTTCCATAGCCGGACATTGAATCTTCTTTTGCATTCATCATAGAACCCGTATATGCGGTTGATTGAAGCACATTCATGATTGCCCCTAAGAAGAAAAAAATTCTCCTTGTATTTGATCTTGTAGGCGAGAAGAAGGCATATTGTCTCTATGCTCTGCTTACCGCGATCCACATAATCCCCAAGGAACAAATAATTTGAAGCCGGGGGGTAGCCACCATACTCGAACAGCCGTAAGAGGTCTGGAAACTGACCATGAACATCTCCTGCTCATCAGCATGAAATGATGAAATGATCAACAAGATCTGATTGGAAAGACGGAACAGGAGCATAGGGGAGTGTGTTCCAGCAAAGTTGAAAACTTTCAAGTAAACCAGAATATCCATAAACATAAACTTTATAAACATGGCAAATAATAAACAAAACATTTGCCAGAAAGTTCTTACAGACTCTACGTTGTTCATTAGTGCTAAGCGTTCATCAGCACTAACATAGTTTCCCCGAGAAAAAAGTCACAGACCGTTTATTAAAACAAAATCGCCATAAGACGCACTCCTTATACCCCTGAAGACAAAATCTAGCTTGAAACATATCAATATTCAATCGATTCGCGACATTTTTATACCAAAAAAGAAAAAATTCACAACATTTCCAACGAGTCAAGCAGAGAAGGGAAGATTTTTTTGTGTGTTAATGAATTAATAAACGACTGTATCACGGGTAAGTATTATCTACCGCAAATTTTGAAAGGAGCCTCCAGCTCGAGGAGATTAGGCTGACTGAGGAAGACCTCCTTCGAGGTCAAACAAAGCTGCCGTATCTCCGCCTCCGTCAGCTGCACCTGCTTCACCGTCCTCCCGTTCTTCGCCTCCACCAACCTCCGTATTATATCATCCAGCAAATTCTCGTCCATCGCGGCCAACCCGCAAGAACCCTAATCTCTCTCTCTCTCTCACCCACGCACACGAAAACAGCAACCAAGCCGATCAAATTCTGCGACAAGGAAATTCTATCTCACGTACCCTTCTCGCCTACCAAATCCCAGAGGCTTCGGACTCTGACGGCGATTCTACTACCACGGCGGCGGTGATGAAGTTAGTCAATTGCGAGCCCTAGAAAAATTCCATCTCATCGAGGCGGTTATGCCCTCTCCATTCTTATCATTGTACGGACACTACGGAGCGTGCTAACTCCCAGCACGTGACTCCTCACGTGCCACTGTTAGTTAGAGAAATTGGTACTTCGTTCGTGCTAATCTTGCTGTCGATGGATGATGAGATTTACGGATTTGGTCCCTGAAGTTTAGTAGAAAAGAATCATTAAAACCCCAAACTTATTTTATAATTAAAAATGTCTCCTCATTTCTTTTAATGTTACCGTTTTCACCCTAGTTTTTTCAAGATCAGAAATTTTATTTTTCACCAGTATCCCGAACATTAGGGGCTTTGCAAAATTACCCCGTTTTTTTTTTTAAAAAAAATTTGCCTGCTTTTAATAGCTATAAATGTAGAAAAGGCTAATTCAAGGAAACCAGTTTTTTTGTTTCCTGCATTCTTTGGCTTTTTGCTTCTTTTTTTGTTGGTAATTTATATGCATTTAACTTGGGACAAAATATTTTCACTTTGGCCATAAAATGATCATTTAGTAGAACATGAACATGTGTTTCCAACTACCGCAGCTTCATTAAGCTAATAAAAATATGAATTGATGGACCGCCTCCCTACCAAATACATTTGCTTATGAGAATTTTTCATCGAGCTTTATTTATGTGCAACTCGTTTTTTTGCCCATTTTGCCATCGCTTTCTAGCCAAACCCAAAAAAAACTTTATAGAACTCTTCTAATTATATATTGTGCATTTAATACAGTGCAATATCCAAAGTAAATTAATTCAGCATCAATAATGGTGTATAGTTATTTATTTTCTTAATGTATCTACATGGACATGAGTCACCTGTACGGAGTCCATTGCTGAGTCAGCAGTTTTTTGTCGAATGAACAGTAACGTTTAACGACGTTAACGGATGAGTGGTTGATTTGGAAAAAATTTAAAAGTCTGGATATTTATGTGGGAGTTATGAAAAGTTCATGACAATTTTATAGTTCGGGTATTTATATAGGATTTTTGTAAAAGTTCGGATATTTAAATGCGATTATCCTTTTTTTTATTATACCTTCCATCTAATTACATATATAAAAATATAAGTCTATGTAGATATTCTTTTTCAAATAAAGACTTGAATTTAGATTAATTTTTTTCTCTCTATCATTTATCAGTTGAACCACCTGATTTTTGGTAGTTCATATACTATTCTTATTTCTTACTCATACGACACCACTAAATAGATTGTCGATCAATGACAGGTTTAGAGATACCAAAAGTTTTTTTTCTTTATAGTAGACTTTTTGCATGTTATATATAATTTTTTATTGATATGTTATCATACATACAAAAGGAATTACTCATCATCCAAAACTATATAACAATCTAAACATTTTATGATAGGTGATATGATTATAATATTACTTTATCATAAATATATCTTTTGAATCGAAATAGATGAATTATAATATAGTTTTTTTATATTTTATTACAGATATATGTTTATTTAGATTTATGGATTGTTGAAATTTTAAGTTGGTATTTGTTTAGATATTTTTAAAATAAAGATGACAACATGAAGAAATGAACCGTGTAAACAGATTTACGGTGGACGATATATAACCAACCACCAAGGGAATCATAAGAAAATAAGAAATGAGGGTTACGATGCTTTTTTTTTTTCTCGTGTCACGTAACGTCCTCGCTGACGGAACCGTTAATGGATCTGGCGGTGATTCGTGAATGAGGATAACGACGCTCGAGAAGCCGTTATCTCAGACGGCATCACATTTTGGTCCTTCACCTTGCTACGGGACCGAACCAATCGACGGCTCAGATCGAGCTCATCATTGCAACGGCTGAGATTGACTTTACAATTTTTTCTTTCTATTTTAGGCTTCGCGATCTTTCTAGCAGGGGGTGCTTGTTCCTTCGTCGTAATCGGAAGCTTGGATCTGCGTGAATCGATCGGAAACTATGGCGGAAGAACAAAATCACGAGGAATCTGCTGCGGCTCCGGAACCGGCGGTGGAAATCTTGGAGAGGGAATCGTTGTTGGACAAGATATCGGAGAAGATCCACCACGGCGACGACTCGTCGTCATCGTCGAGTGACGAGGACGAGAAGGAGGCTTCTTCTCCATCGTCTCTCAAGGCGAAGGTTTACCGCTTGTTCGGGAGGGAGAAGCCCGTGCATAAGGTTCTCGGCGGCGGTAAACGTATGTTTACTCTAATCGTGTCCCATTCTCAAGTTTTTCTCACGATTTCGTTTGACGGGGTTTGATCTGCTCTGACCATGTGTTGTGTGGTTTATTGTTTTTAGTTGATGTTGAAAATAATCGGTCATTTTCGGGATAGGAGGATAGTTGATTTTTCTGGTGCTGTATGGTTTGAATATGCATAGTACTTACCTTGAGCTTCGGATATGAAGTTAGGATTTGATGTTTTTTGCTATGGGTTATCTGTGATCTGGACAGATTATCGTTGTTTGGAGCAAACTTGTGTCTTTGACTGGCCCTGAGTGATGGTGTGTAGTGTTTGATTTATAACTTTGGACGAGCGTTTGACGCGACTGTTTTGCATATAGAAGATGGGTTTTATCATTTTACTTTTTGGAAACCATGTCAATGGTATTCTCATTTACGGATGGAGGGTAAAGATGTTAAAATCTTGTTTTGTAGTCTCGTAATTGCGAGAACCCTGACATGGTAGCGGATTTAGCTTTTTATGGGGGCAATGATCTTGTTTCGTGATTTTGTATTATTGACTCGATTGCTCGATATTAATATTAATTAAGCTTTGGCGTTTGTGTTGCAGCCGCTGATATATTCATGTGGAGGGACAAGAAGATGTCGGCTAGCGTACTTGGAGGTATAACAGCGGTCTGGGTGCTGTTCGAATTGATGGAGTATCATCTTCTCTCGCTACTCAGTCACGTTTTGATCGTTGTTCTTGCGGTGTTGTTCATATGGTCTAATGCCAGCATGTTCATTAACAAGTAAGTTATGGCTAATCTTATGGATGTTCAAGTATCATTGATTTGATATCATTGATCGCGTCCTTCGACTACTCATTGTCGTGCAGATCCCCTCCAAAAATTCCGGAAGTACACATCCCTGAAGAACCAATCCTGCAGCTTGCATCTGGGCTCAGAATCGAGATCAACCGTGCATTCACTTGTCTTCGTGACATTGCATCCGGAAGAGATCTCAAGAAGTTTCTGACTGTAAGTCAAAACCTGTTGATAGTGAATTGTCCGAAACTTGTTTTTCTTCAAATTTTGCCTTTAGCACGACAATTCTACCATACCGTCGGGTTTTGATTAGGCTATTGCCGGCTTGTGGGTGCTATCAATCGTTGGAGGATGTTGCAACTTCTTGACACTGTCCTATATCGGTATCTTCTCCTGTCCAATGCATCATCGCTTCCATTACTCTCCCTTCTTAAACTATGGCGACGAGTAAGTAACCATCTGTCTTTTTTTTTGTTGGGTGATTGCATTTGCAGGTATGGTGATGCTCTTCACAATCCCTGTTCTGTACGAAAAGCACGAAGACAAGGTGGATGCGTATGGGGAGAAAGCTATGGTAGAGATGAAGAAGCAGTATGCAGTGTTGGACGAGAAGGTATTGAGCAAGATCCCGAGGGGACCATTGAAAGGCAAGAAGAAGGATTAGGACACTCTCACAACATAAAGACTTTGTCTGTTTTTGCTTTTGGAAATGGTGTTGTGAAATCGTGATGTAGTTATCAGTTAGATCTTTGGGATTTGAATGAACTTGGAAATCTTCTGATACTTGTTTTTTTTTTTTCTTTTGGGTTTTGTTTCTGTGAAACTTTCTTGTTGACTTATATGCATTCAAGCAACTTTTTTTTTTGTTACTAGAAAGCAGGCTCTTTGATCTTGTAATCCTAAGTATTAATTTATTAAAGAAATTATCTTACGTTGAAAAAATATATCTGTTTTTTTTTTTTAATTTTATCTCCCCTTGATGGGTTTGGTCACTTCTAATTGGGAGGATTCTTACAAGAATTTGTTATGTCAACCAAAACTTACTTTTAAATGATAATTAATTAGTTTTCCTTGAGATTTTTATTTCTCCCGACTCCGTCAGCTACCCTTTATCCGTTTCTATTTTTTAAAATATCGGGGGGGGGGGGGGGGAA